AAGAAAATAAATAAAATAAAAGATGGTTACTTAAATCATGTAAAACACAGTCAAAATAAAATTTAAATTATCCTTCAAATAAAAATAAATTAAAACATCCATAGATAATTTTAATGTAGCTGTCTTTGCCCCCCTAGAATTATTTCTCTGGAACTCACAAGCTTCTCATTTTTTCACAGTGTTTACCACTGTCAACCTTAAAAGTAAAATAGCCAGTTATTTTACCAGTGGAATAGGTTTACTGAGGAATAGCAGAGGAATTGCAATTTGGGACATGTAAGCTACAGCAAACCATAGGTAAGCCCTGAGATCAAAGGAGAGGAACTGCTGCTTTATAAAGAAAAGGAGGAGGTTGGGAGGGGCTGCTTTGGAAGTCCATAGAGGAAAGTGAGAGTTCTGGGTAGTAATGGTTTCTCATTGGCTGAGTTGTGGAATTTTCTAATTGGCTGAGTTTGTTGCTGAGCAAGAAGAAATTCTTTCTTCTTGCTAAAGTAGTGAAGTAGGTTTTTTGCTGTTGGGAATGCAATGTCTCTTCCTGTAGGGGACAGCAGTTAATGAGAATTTGTAGGGCATGAGAGCCCCCTCTCTGGCCTCCCGATTTCACTTTTTTTTTTCTCTGACTTCACTTTAAGTGAGGTTTTCTTTATTCAGTTTTATACCACTAGAACTGTCTTTTTACTTTATGGACACATTAGGCCCATTGGTATTCTATACTTATAATTCGGTAGGGTTTTCTTCTCTTCCTGTGTAGCATAGACTTTACAGATCACAAGCTCATTAACAGCATTGAAAATACTGTAAAAGCCCTTTGCCCCTTTTAACCTTTTGTTTTGTTTTCACTTAACTTGCAACACTCTAACTCTACTGAGTTCATGATCCTGGAGTCCCTGGATCGAGTCCCGCATCGGGCTCCCTGCTCGGCGAGGAGCCTGCTTCTCCCTCTAACCCTCCCCCCTCTCATGTACTCTCTCTCTCTCATTCTCGCTCTCTCAAATAAATAAATAAATCTTTAAAAAAAAAAGAAAAAGAAAAAGTCAACCCCTTCCATCTTTATTCTACAAATATACCAACACAAAAGCATTCTTATAGCTCAGTATATTCTACTCTTTTGTTCCTGTTCCATTTAAGCAATGGCTGGAAACTTAGCTCATGGGCCAAAAATGACCCTGCTGCCTACTTTGGCAAGTAAGAGTTTTAATGAAGCACAGCAATGCCCATTCTCTTACTTGTTGATGTCTGCTTTCCTGATGAAATGGCAAAGTTGACTAGTTTTAACAAAGACTGCTCCTCAAGGCATAAAATACTCACACTTTACAGAAAACTTTGCCAAATCTTCACTAAAAGCAAATAGCAATTCTCATCTAATGGTGAACTTGAAAATATTTACTTTGGACTTTATCTTCTTCAGTCTTCTTAAGAATATTTTTAAGTTATGGGCACCTGGGTGGCTCAGTTGGTTAAGCGACTACCTTCGGCTCAGGTCATGATCCTGGAGTCCCGGAATCGAGTCCCGCATCGGGCTCCCTGCTCGGCGGGGAGTCTGCTCCTCCCTCTCCCGCTCCCCTCTCTTGTGCTCTCTCTCTCTCAAATAAATAAATAAAATCTTAAAAAAAAAAAAAAAAAGAATATTTTTGTTATAATACATTTATTTTATTTTATATTCAGACTTTTTCTCCAGACTAGATCCTTTCCTATTGCCTTTAACTATCCTTAAATATCTATTTAAAAAAGCAACAACAAACATCAAGCAACTAACCCTTAACTACATTACTACCCCCACCCCATAGTTATCTTATCTCCTCTCCTTTTAAGCCAGAATAGTTCCAATTGTTTTTATTCCTGACAGCCACGTTATCACTCCCCACTAACTCTTCTTAGTACAATTTGGGTCTAATTTCCAAATTCCATCAAAACACAAACGTGAAGCCTCTATCACCTATGAAATGGTTCCCAAACGTATCTGTTCATCAGAATCATGTGGAGGGCTTGGTAAAACACAGATTGCCAAACAAAGTTTACTGAAGTAAATTTGTAAATGGCTGGCTGCCATTTTTCCATCAGGTGAGGAAGTAGAACAGAGGAGTAGGAAGAAAAGGTTAGTCTCTCCACTGGGCAGAATTTATTTGCATGTCTACAGACATTTATTTGCAAGTGCATCAGTTATCTAGCACTTGGATAACCACAAAGTGGCTCAAAGATAAAGAAAGCCCAGAATCCTCTTTGAACCAAAATCAGAGTCAGACAACTCAGAGGAATGTACTTTAAACAACACATGGTTTATCAATGAACCACAGATGTTTTCCTTTAGCTTTTATATACCAATTTGTGAACCATTTTTTAGAATGACTATTTGATTAATGTGGCTATCTTTGATCACCATATAGTGTTAAGTTTTATAAGAGCAGGAAACCAATCTTTTTTGCTTATCTCTCCACCCCCAGCACAGTATTAACACAGTGTTTTAAATATAATAGCTCTGGGCGCCTGGGTGGCTCAGTTGGTTAAGCGACTGCCTTCGGCTCAGGTCATGATCCTGGAGTCCCTGGATCGAGTCCCGCATCGGGCTCCGGGCTGGGCAGGGAGTCTGCTTTGCCCTCTGGCCTTATCCCCTCTCATGTGTTCTCTCTCATTCTCTCTCTCTCAAATAAATAAATAAATAAATAAAAATCTTAAAATAAATAAATAAATATAATAGCTCTGCAGTGCCTCAGTTGCTCAGTCATTTGAATATTGGCTCTTGGCTTCAGCTCAGGTCATGATCTCATGGGTTGTGGGATCTGCCCCACAGCTGGCTCCCTGCTCAGCAGAGAGTTTTCTTGAAGATTCTCTCCGTCTGCCCCTCCCCTCTCTCTCTCTCTCCCTCTCCTTCTCTCAAATGAATAAATCCTTAAAAAAAATAAATAAATATAGTAGCTGCTCAATAACTATTATTTAAATAAATAATAACCGTAATCAGATTTAATTAAAATAGTTGAATACAAATTTAATTAATATTAATAGATAACATTAATTCTATCATACTTATGGCAAAGAATATAAATATAAGGATGATAAAATAGCACTAATGTCTAAGACTATGGGTTTTAGAGTTAGACGTAGGTTCACTCTAGCTCTGCTATTTATACACATACACATTTAAAATTCAATGGCCAATTGATTTTATATTAGCTATATGAGCAGAAAATTAAAAATGAAACAATATTGTATATCCCCCAAATTGTGACTTTACTGTAACAACCAATTTCTGATTTCTAAATTGGAAATTTAACTTAGAATTACAATTTATAAATTGCCATTTCCTTTTCATGCATTTGTTAGTAAAACTATCAATCATAAAATATCTTATTACAAAATGAGTGTGAAAAAATACTAAGCTTGTATAAACTTTTAATAACCAAAATAAAATATTTGAAATATCAGAAATGTGAAGAAAAAACAAACTCTTCGAAAACATAATTAAATCAATATAATTAAAGAAGCTGCAGAAAGTTATGAGGATGGGGGTTTGTTAAAAAGGATGATGGTAGGATAATTGTTTTCTGGACTTCGTCAAAGTTAACTAGAATATATTCTTTCTCTCTGGGAGGAGACATGCTGTGATTAGTTCTCTATGCTTCATAACAAATTACCTCAAACTTAGCAGTTTCAAACAACCCCATTTATTTTCTCAAACTTATTATGGGTTAGAAATCCAGGCATATTAGCTAGGGCCTCACAATGCTGCTATGAATGTGTTAGCCAGAATTGAAGTTTCTGTTTCAAAGATCTACTAGAGAATGATCTTCTTTCTTGTTCTTATTATTTTTGACAGCATTCATGGCAGCTTGCGTCTTCAAAGACATTAAGAGAAGTTATAAACAAACCAATAGATAGATAGATGATAGAGAGATGATGATAGATAGATGATAGATAGATAGATAGATAGATAGATAGATAGATAGATAGATAGATAGATGATAGATAGATAGATATAGAGTAGGTAGAAGAAAGATATAAGCAGTGGAAAGAATGCCCAGGGGCAGAGTCCCAAGTTCTTGAAGGTGAATGACAAACATGAACTGGAGGCAAGAAAGGTGATAAGTAAGCTACCTATTAAAAGCTGGAGGGCACAACATCCTGACCTTGTGGTTTCCAAGACCTTGGGGCTACAGACCAAAGAGCTCAGGTGCAGAGCATGTGCTCTCCTCTTCCACCTCTGCCCCAGGATAGCCCCTACACTCATTTTAATGCATTTGCTTTGAGAGCATAGCCCCTCCCAGGTGGAGGGAGAAAGGCTGCCTGGACGGTTGGGTTACAAACCTCGTTGGGTCAAAAACTCCCCTTCCCAACCTGTAGGAGTTTCCCAAATGATTGGAAGGGCCTTCATTTGAGACCACCCCACTGTATGTCAGACCTCCTCCCAGCCCAGAGAGACCCAATAATATCCAATCCCAAAATAACCTAGGGTCTGGTTCCATCAACCAGAACCTGCCCACTCTGCCACCCTGAGAGTGTACTTTGCTTTAGTAAATTGCTTTGTGCTTACTACTTTCCTTCTGGCTGTCTTCATTGGAGCACAGATCCCCATGTAAATCTTCTGGTGGGGGAATCCAAGGACAAAGACCTCCATTCATACAACACAGACTCTCCCACAACTGACGGATGGATAGATAGATAGATAGATAGATAGATAGATAGATAGATGATAGATTGATAGATAGATGATAGATAGATATGATAGATAGATTTACTAGCAAGTTTGAGTCTTATAAAAGGTAATGATGGGAGTGACTTCCTACCACCTTTGTCATCAAGAAGTGAAGGGAGTGTCAAACCATCCTGTTTGCATATACTGTTGGTTACAAGTAAATCACAGATCTGGCCCACACTCAGCGAGAGGGAATCCCACAAAAGTGTCAATACCAAAGACAGGATTATTAGAAGTCACCTTGGGGTCTGATCACCACATTGTCTAATGCAAACTCTTGAGGCATTTCACAATTTTCAAAGATTAGTGTTCCAGCTTTGCACAGTGGCAGTATCATAGCCAATGAGGTTTATCCAAGGCGTGATTATTGCTAATTGAAAACTTTTCTCAAAGATTAGTGCTCCATATAAGACTATTATTTAAGGAACCTTAGTAGAACAGAGAACAATAGGGGTTGGGGGGAGGACTGAATGGGAAGAAATCAGAGAGGAAGACAAACCATATGAGACTCTTGACTCTGGGAAACAAACTGAGGGTTGCAGAAAGGGAGGTGGGTGGGAGGATGGTATAACTGGGTGATGGGCATTAAAGAGGGCATGTGATATGATGAGCACTAGGTAATATATTCAACCAATGAATCATTGAACATTATATCAAAAACTAATGATTGGCTAATTGAATTTAAATTAAAAAAACTTAAAAATTAAAAAAAAATTTGAAAAATTGCAAGGAAAATTGGTGAAATTGTGCAAAGACAAAAACCCATGTGTATCTATGGCTATGTCCTAAAAAGTAAATTTCTTTGAAACGGAAGTTTGTTAATTTGTTTATTGTTTGTTTCTTCACTGAGCACCTGCAAACTGAACCTGAAGAGGTACTTGAAAGAGGGGTTTCCATTAATAAATTTGCTTCCTTATTTGGAAAGACCATTTGAACGTCACCGAATAAGTTTAGGACAAAGTTATAAGAAGAAAATAAGTGGCAAGGCAATGAAAGGAGCCAGGTTGATGCTGAGAAATTAGGCCATTACTTCAGTTAACAGTCAGTAGTATAGATATGGAGAAAAAAGAAAAAGAAATATCTGATAGAAATATTGTTCAAATGCATTAAATAGTAAGATTTGTTGATAGTCAACTTTTAACAAACGTAAACTTCCTCAAGTTGTCAAGAAAGTGTTGAGGTGTGTGTGTGTGTGTGTGTGTGTGTGTGTACAGAAAGAGAGAAATAAAATTAAGCTTCAGTTCTAGACCATTGTAGTGTGTGATATGGATATCACATTTGGGATTGTTGGCAATCTGTAATGGGTCAAATATGTGGTCTATACAGAGACAGTGTGGTTCAACTAATCTGGGCTGAATTTGGTCCCAGCTAGGTTTGCTACTGTTTCTGGGTGGTGGCTTCTTGGAGCTGGGGGTCCATGCTTCTTCATGGCTGATGGGCTCAACTGTCTCCCTCATGTTTCTAAAATCCCTCAGCTGGCTGGTCTGATCTTGCTCTCAAAGTGAAGGCATAGGTATAAAGTAGAGAATAAAAGTACAATGATTCTTGAGACAGATGCTCAGAACTGGCACATTCTCTTGGTCAAAGTAAGTGAGTTTAAATGGCTAAGAAACACACCCAGAGGAACTGCAAAGTTGTATTTTAAAAGATGTGAAACTAATAGGACCATTTCAAACAGCAAATACAACCTAGATTAGAATTGTGTCTATTATTACCTTTACTAATACAGAAAGTTGTAAAAAATATATACCAAAAGTTTGTCTCATATTGGGCCTCCTACTGATGCGTCAAGAGAGCTCAACTCTGCATTCATTGATAGATGGAGCATAGCCTCAAATATCCATGGTAGAAGTATTAACACCAAAGAAATATTCAGGTGCTACAAATCAAAGCTTTTATGTTTGTTTTATTTTATTTTATGGATATCTGGTTGTTAAATATTTATTAGCATACTATTGGGTTCACCCATTGCCAAAAACCTAAACTATATGGCATGGTATTTGGGAGATGGCAGACAAGAAAAAAAAATAAAATTGAATTTTGAAAACTTGGAGATTCGTGTTAGGAAATTGAAAAAAAAAAAAAAGGTAAAACTGAAGCCTCTGAAGCCTCTGGATATTGGTGAAGTGATTTCAAAACCTGAAAATAATAGTGTATAGTGACTATTATTGGTTATTACAAGATAGAGATGAGTGCAGACATGAGTTGGCTAGTTTTTGTGCAAAAATTGAAGAAAATAGTTTCCAGAGATGGAAGGCCTTATGAGACTGGAATTATTGCCTGTCTTGCTCCATTACAGAGTAGGAGATCAGATTGAAAAATTTTAAAGGGACAAAGATCCTGTTAAATTCCTCAATCTAAAGAAGTGACTTAGCTTTGCGGTTCCCAGTTGTTGTAAAAGCAGAGTCTAAGCACTTGGCCATAATGTGCAATTCTCTTCAGGTTATGTTTCCTTCTTTCCTTTCTGGTGTTGTCTTTCCCCTTTACCTTAACTTCACTTAGTTCAGACTGCTTTGAGTGAAGTAATTATTTATTACTTCTGAGGCTTTGGATTAATAATCTTGCTTTTTTTTAAAGATTTTATTTATTTATTTGATAGAGAGAGACACAGCAAGAGAGGGAACACAAACGGGGAGAGTGGGAGAGGGAGAAGCAGGCTTCCCACGGAGCAGGGAGCCCCATGTGGGGCTTGATCCCAGGATGCCAGGATCATGACCCCAGCTGAAGGCAGATGCTTAACAACTGAGCCACCCGGGGGCCCCTAATAATCTTGCTCTTTAGAATGTTACCCTTTCAAGTTCCAAACTGATAACACACAGTTTTTCTGAGGACTACACTATTTGTCTTTTCCAAGATTATTTTCTGGCCATCCATGCATAATGTTAAAAAGGAGATGAGTCTCAAAATGGAGTCAGTTTTGCTAAGCCCCACATCAGCAAACCAAGATTTAATGCTTAACCTAATTGCAGTTTCAGCTTCTCCCAGGAATCTTTAACCAGTCAACCTGGAATTACCTGATCAACACTAGGAGGTAATCCCCTGAGACCTTTCCATTCCCCTTTGGAAAATGACCTTGCTTAAAACAATGCATTTTTTGCTAATCATTTCCTTTTTTCACCTCCTTTCTGCCTTTAAAAACTTTTCCTTTTCTACAGCTTTGTGGACCTCCTTTCTCTTTGCTAGATGGAATGCTTCCTGATTTATGAATCATTGAATAATGCCAATTACTCCCTATAAGTAGTGGTAATTGAATTGCCACTGTGAATCTTCCACAGCTGATAACAAATCCATTGGAAATCTGATTCCATAAAGTTGTGCAAAGTTTGCTATGATTCTCACATAAAACCTTGTGATGGCCAGCTGCTTCTTTATTTAAATTGTATAATTTGTTGCATAATAAGGTTTTACTTCATTTCCCACAGAATGTCAATTCTAAAAGCAGTGCTCTGATGTACCAACCACAGTGCAAATTCCATTAGTTTTCAGGCTTTTAGTTGCCACACAAAGTTCAACTTGAAGGAAAGAGAAAAGCAAATGGGTGGTGATATTCATAAAGTACCTATATTGGATGTTTGCTTTCCAAATGATTCTGAGGAAATTATTATCATTTGATATATTCTAGTTTAAAACAAATTTCAACATAGAATAATGGTGTTATTTTGTTCATTCTATCAAGAAATATACAATAGCCACTAAAAAAGGAAAATCGTTATTCTGGGAATGTTTTTTATAAAGGGAACTGAGAATACAAATATTTTTTAAAGCATTTTAAAGTTTATTTTTGAACACTATTTTAGTTTTCATCATTAAATTTATGTTTTTTTCTTTTAGTAATTGAAAACATATATCCTTATCTGGTATCTATTTCAAGTAATTCTAATATGCACACAGACATACAAACATATACCCAGACACACAAGTACAAGTACAGACCTACATAGACACAAACTTACACAGATTCAGAGATTCATAAACATGATATAAAACAAAATGAAATGATGCTTTAAATAATGTACAAATGTGAATTTTGGTCCCAAAAGTAATTGTGAATGTTACAAATAGTCCAAAAGCAGGGCGCCTGGGTGGCTCAGTCGGTTAACCGTTTGCCTTTGGCTCAGGTCATGATCCCAGGGTCCTGGGATCAAGTCCCACATCAGGCTCCCTGCTTAGCGGGGAGCCTCCTTCTCCCTCTCCCTCTGGGGCTCCCCCTGCTTGTGCTCTCTTGCTCTCTCCACCAAATTAAATAGAATCTTAAAAAAAAAAAAGTCCAAAAGCCACTAATTGTATGCCAAAAAGAAGAAGAAGAAGAAGACGACTTAGAAAAATACATTAATATACTTAAAAATTTATGTCGTATATTTTGCAGATTTAATTATAATTTTGCGATACAAATTGCGTTCTTCAAATTCCTTGTTTTTCTGAGTAAGAGCAAAAGCTTGGAGTGATCACAATGTATTTTAATCTGTAATTGCAAATGTAGTACTTTGTTTAAATTATTATAGGTGTAAGTACAGGATATGGTCTTTGTAACCCAGAGTGTGTTAAAGCATTACGGAGACAAGTCATACTGGCCAGATTATATTATCTGTGGAGCTGTAATTATGCAACATATGGGACTGTGGGTTTAAGTAAAATCACCATACATGTAAGACAGCCCCACAGCCAGAGTGAAGAGGCTTAATCTGGGACAGTGTACAATGTCAGGTTCCATATGATATGTTGTCCACTACACTTTCTGAAGTAATAGGTTGTTTATTTTAATTTGAATGAAGCAATAATTATCAAATAAGAAAAAAAATCTTTATTAAGTGTTAATTCAGGATTTTAAGTCATCTGATTAAATCATGTTTAGCAAAGAGTGGAATTAGGTGGAAATAATATAATGCAGGTATGTAGAGAAGATAAAAAATTCCCCATAACAAGGGACATTTGATTATAAAGGAAACTTGTGTGGGCCTAGTTCAGATTAACTACAGAGGAAAATAGAAAATTCAAAACAGTAAAGAGGATGGCATTGTAGATGATCAGTTGTTTACAAAATAGTTTTTGTTAATCTTTTCAAATACATTAATAAAGTGGGATTATATCAGAATTTGCAAAATTTAGGGTCTTTATGTTTATGAGGCTATTTTCACATATAAAGTTGAACAATCAAGCAAAATATAAACCCATAGAGAGTATTGGAGGCAACACTTCAATATTTAATACACAAAGCATTGAAACATAAACATATTCTATCCATCAGAACACATTTGCAACTTTTGAGAATGATTATCTGGGATAATTTTTTATTGTATCACATATGAATTTAAAAAATCTTATTTCAAACCTTGAAAAAATTGTCTTAATTTAAATTAAGCTAAATTTAACTCACAATCTGGCTACATGTTAGCAAAGACATTCATATAGAATGTATATATAATTATGGAAGTTGTCAGTTTGATACTTTTAA